TGAAGTGGCCAGTGATGATCTCAAGTAAACAAAGGTATAGTTTAAAAGATACTGCAGCTTTCTGAATATATCAGAGAATTTTTTTTTTTTTTTTGGACGTGATACACTACTTTCAGCGACAAGACTGAACTAATTAATTTTGACTGGTATAGAAATGACTGTTGCTCCTTTGGACAAAAACCAGAAACAGCTGGTCCTCAAAGGGTACATTTGGGATTCAGGGAAGACTTGCTAGGTGGTGGTGGTATCAACAAAACGACATGTCTCAGTACTGAATTTGGCCTCTGTATTACATTGTTCTGAGCTTCTTTGACAGATGGCACAAAGTTATCAGTCTTTGTTGTGAAACAGGAATGCTCCTATCAATGTTGTAAACAACAAAATGGAAGGACTGAGAGTGCTGGCTTAACATGAACATGACAGCTGACAGGATGGTTATATCCTCCTCAAAGTCTACTGATGTATTTTATACTCCTGTTATTTTTGTCTATGTCCCTGAGACCAGCACTGCAACTATGGTGCCCTTTCGGACTTATACCTGCTAGAATTTAATACAGTGGTTAGCAAAGCATCTATTGCAGGAACAGTCCCAATTGATAAGGATTTCTGTTATCTTCTAACTGGAGAATGTTAAATGTTCCTCAAATCATATATAGAATTATGCAATCTTCACTTGAATGAAATTTGAGAAGGCACATTAGAAACTGCATCAAAGGAAGTATCCTTCCCAAGGGACAAAAGCATCAAGGGGACTTGTCTACTACAGAGCCATTACATGACAAGCAAAGTGTGAACGCTGTGGTTATACAAATAAACAAGGATGAGGCACTTCATTCCAACTGCATATAAGATGCATCACATGAAGAGATTTATGTATTCCTGACATTTTGTCTTTTATGAATCTGCCAAAGTAATACAAAAAATGAACTGCACTGGAAACGTTTCACATTATGCTTGTGCTTGAAGTTCAGCAAACAGTGGCACGTCAAACATTAGTCTGAGCTCACTCCCAGGGAAAGCAGTGAAAGATACATTCTTCACTCAGACTGTCCTGCCCCTGCAGTGCCAAAAGTTGTGTGCATAGTCCAAAGAGTTAGGCTTAGTCAAAAAGAGTTCATGCCTTACAAAGGCATCTTTTATAAAGGGTTCTACAGACAATACAAACCTGGCATTTTACAATAGCTGCAGAATACACTCTTGCTTCCATGCACTGAAATACTTGGGAGGTTGACTCTGTGTCCAGGTATAAGCAACAACAATACACAGTACTATGTAGGTCTCAAAATGTATTAGTAGAATAAGGAAAACTGGTCTCAAGAGGTGGTAGAATAACATATATGAAACAGGAATCACTGGTTATTATGTGACAATAAAAATCATGCTATAAAACTCATATGATGATAGGGAAGGAATAGAGAACTAGAAATTACCTATCAGGGACTAGGAGTTTACATAACACTGAGTAGTGTACACAGGGTAGGACCACTTGTAATAACTAGAAAAAAATTCAACAGAGATAAAATGACTCAAACATTCATACAGAAAACTGAATTATAGAAAATGCTTTTCGGGGAGGGGGGGGCCTAACTGCATCACTGAAAATTTTAGTAAGTAATTGTTATTTGTAAAGACAAATTCAACTTTTGGAGTACAGGGAAAAACACTGGCCCCAAGAGAGGTTCCAGAAAAGAAAACCAAATTATTCTCAAAAGAGACTGCATAGCTGCTCTGCATATTAAGATTTTAATTTATCTCATTTAACAAGACAACAATTACTCTCCTTGAGCTACCATATGTCCCAGAATTGCTGTGGACACAAAGTTTACCAAGACTCCAAGCCGAGTATGAACTAAAACTCTCTTAAGTTGCACAACATATGGTATCACGTCAGCTCTCAAGCATGGATGCAGATCATTCTAAAAGACAAGGTCATGGTTTCTAAAAACTTCTAAAACATTTCTGTTGCATTAGCTTCTTCAAACTAAAACAAAACATCCTGCACATCCTTAATCATAATTGAGAGTGCTCTTGATGTTGCAGACCAAAATAGAAGAACAGGAAGAAGATGGTGTTCACTTTAGATTCAGTGGTTCTGTCAGACAGTCATTTACTTAATAATTGTATTAACTGAAACATATACAGCAGCTTTGGCAGCAAAACAGAAATGCTATACCACAGGAACCATGCTAGACCTGTTTAATAAGCTGACAGCTGGTGAAAGACAGACTGGCCTGTATTTGACTTTCCAAACACTTTGTCAATCAATACAAGCCTCAACTGAGAGAGCAACTATCACAATATAAAATAAATTAGTGAAGTTATATAACAGACCTAAAGAGTCCTACCTCTTTCACTGCCATGCATTTAGTTTCATACGGCAAGACCCTGTTAGTCCACCAGAGTTATTAGCTGGAGTTGAAAACAATGGATTAAGAGGGGATCCAGTGACTGCCTTGCCTGAAGGTTCAAAGTCTTGGGCACAATGTAGACAGACAGCCCCTGGAGTACCAGTAGTACTCCAAAAGCAAAACATTCTGTGTCCCCTTCTCCTTTGCTTACCAGATTTCTGACTCATTCTGGAAAAAGTAATTTTCCTGAGACACAATGGGACAGAAATATGAAGAAATTCTGTTATCAACTCAGAGTGAGACAGATCAACAGCTGTGAAAGAACAGGTGAGGGGAAGTGGAATCTAAAACCCTCTGGCAGCAAGCAGTGCCGGCAGGTAGCCAGAGCACCGGTTCAGTTCTTATCACCACTGCTGTGTGGCAAGCAATTAACTGAAGTAACACATGGCACATGCCAACGTTACAGCCACACACAGGGGTTTGGGAAGCAACACACCCCAAGCAGAGTGGGAATGACCACTTCACTTCATTTGTACCTGTTCACACCATCTGTTTCCACTGCTGCCTTTTTCCTATGAGATGGGCACTTTGAATCTTTCAACAACATTAAAAATGGGTAATACTGGTAAATAAGGCACCTTTAATGTTTGAAAATGGATTGGTAGCCTTCAGGGTGCTGTGGCCTTTCACACCTGACTAGTCCTCCATGCCACAATGCACTTGTGCACACATTTATTCTTTTGGGCATAAACCTAGCAATAACTACAGCAAAAAACTGTGCTACCATATCCATCACCAACTTCTTCCTTGTTTCCTTAGGATACAAGACCCTCTAATCAAAAAATGCCCTACCCCAAAATCCGAAGTCCTTCTTTAGCAAAGGTCCTCTTACCACCTTGCCAGGGAGAAGGTGACCTATTGCAAGCCCCAGAGAATGACCAGGGCATGCAGCCCAGTCTCCAGGAGTTGTTTCCCTTTCACTGGTAATGGAGGGAACTAAGTAAGTATCCCCATTCCACAGCATCTACCCTATTCAAGAGAGCCAAGCAAATGAAGGGACAGCTAAAAATGGGTGTTATGTAGCAGATTCACAAGGGAAGAAAACCAGTACTTTAAAAATCATCAGTTTGATTTAGTATATGCTAAAAATCATGACATTCCACCAGTAAGATCATCATCACCAGTAGAATGATCTAACAAACAAGGTTAGAGAAGTACATCACATCTAATTATTTATTTGGACTCAGCAAATCTGATTATATTCAAGTGATGAGGATGTACCTTAAACGAACAAATAAAAGTCATCAAGAATTTTCAGAATACTACATCACAGAAGAAAAACTGAAGATAACTGAAAAACAAAACTGCACCACAATGAGCAATCTACGACATCTTTTTTCCCTCCCTGAGGCTAGAACAGCTGCAATGGCTGGATAAGGTACAAGGACAGCACAGCATCTTTCCAGAGGAAGAAGCTTCAACAAGTTCTTATGTATTCAGTGCATTACTTCTGAATATGCTCACTATGTTTTTTTACAACCACTTCAAAATATTTTGGTTTTTTCTCTCCTTCTGGCCATGAACGTGTATAAGCAGCTCTTTTCAACAGAAGAACTGTCAGACTTACAAAAAAAAAATTGGCAGACTTTCACAGAGGTAAGCTATCTTTTTCATAACAGAAATAGAGAACAAATATAGTTACAGAATCTCAGCTTCAGTTTGAAGCGATCTCAGGAGCTTTATCTGGTCCATGATCAAAGCAGAGGCTGTTCAGTATTTTATTTATCAGCAAATTTCTAGTCCCGACTAGTTAGTCCAGCTACAAGTTTCATGCATTCCAACACAACTTGTTTAAGCATTAAACAAATAAGAGCAACCATAATACTTATTCAAAAGATTAATGTTTTGACTTTAAAAAAAAAAACCAGTATTTAAAAGCTATTATGTCTACCTAATGCATCACTGAGGAGTTGTATAATGACCCATTACAGAAACTACAGGATCCCTCTTCAACATTCATGTACATTTGCAACAAGAAAGTGAAAATCCCCTTCTAAGATCTCCTATTTACTGTTTTTCTTACAGACTGCAGTATTAAATGTATATTCTGTATGTAAGGAAAGCTTTCCTTAATCTTTTTTAGGGATTATTAGCAGCCAAAACCCCAGAAAACCGTTACAGACTAGAATTTGTCGTGCTACATGTAATTAAGACTTTAAATTATTTAATCCTTTAAATAAAATACTTTAACCAGGAAATATGTAGTCTTTATTGACTTGTCATCTTACTACAGATATGCAATTAGTGTTTCTTAAACACATTATTCCCCTCCAGAGCTAAGCAGTACAATGCAAACTACATTTTTCAGTACTTCACTATTTCATTAAAATACCTCATATTTAAACTTCTTGAAGGCTCATCATTTGCAATATAACTGAAATAAAAAGCAGACCTCATTCAGCGTTTCCATTTTCATGCTTCAATGCTAAAAATTAGAGAGCTCTTTAAAATATGAAAATGAAAGCAGACAGAAAACACCATTCATAAATCAGAGTTTATATGAAAACATGCACATATAAATAATTGCTATTTCTGACTAGCAAGTAACCAGAAAACATGCAGACACAGTAATTTCAACAAGTGGCATATTACCTGGGTGGAGCTGGCAGCAACAGAAATGCAGTCAATGAAACCATGTCTCCGAGTGAAAAATGCAACTATCTGCTGCCAACGGGAAGGCTCATTCCGTAACTCATCTGTTGAGCCTTTCTTTGCCCACTGCTTGTGCTTTGGGCCTACAGAACTGTGGCTTGAGCTAGTGTTGCCTCGATTGGCGCGAGAATAGAGGAGTGTGTTATTTCCGAAAATGTAATTCATCTCTGCAGCTCTGCAGGTGGTTGCCAGGCAGTCTTACTTCCCTACCAGCTGCTGAGTGGTGAATGAGCAGGAAAAAAAAAAAAAAATGCAGATAGAATTACAGCAGCATCATTTACAAACCAGGAAAACAAAATTCTTGATAGCTGATGCTAGTCTTCTTCCAAGCTTTTCCACCCCCTACATCCCTTCTCTACCTGTGATTACAATGATGAGCATAATCTTGAGCAATTTTTAACAAAAAAAAAAATTTTAAAAAAAAAAAAAAAAAAAAAAAGCAGCAAGTAAATGTTTTTCTTCTTTTTCCTTTTTTCAGAACCCACAGGATCGAAAGCTTGTTCTCTCTTCCGAGCTGACAACAGATATTTAAGAGAAACTGAGTAGCAGGTACAGTACAAATGTTAGAAATTCACAGCTATGAGGATGGTGGTGGATGATAACAGCTACTGGGTGGAGAAAGAATGGATCAAAAATAACCAAGTTTCAATCATTGCCTGTAGTAAGATCCAATAGCATCTTTTCAGTTCCAAAGCTTGCATAAATTATGAACCTGAACCGAACAAAACAGGGAGCATGCAGCATAACTGCACTTGTTCACCGATTCTGCCTTTCTGAAAACATTCCACAGAGCAAAAAGAGCTTAACACCCTGTTCAGAAAAAATATCCAAGAAAGAACTGTTGCTGGTTTTTTTCTTCTTTTCCCTCTTTCCTTACTGCATAAAACATCTACGGAGGGAAGAAATCACAGTGCCACAAAACAGTCATTTTGTGTTCCGTATCAATGGATGTCTGGTAGGGTTGTTTTGCTGCGGTATTTTTTAATCAGCAAGAAGATTAGAGCTATTAAGATTAAACACTATACGTCAACACTCTGTTATTTTTATTCTATAATTAACATGTCATGATTGTAACACCTATTTCCAAAATTCTGTGACTATTGTAAGCATAATACTAAAACAATAAACATATATTTGTGACCCAACATTATTTCTCCAAAGTACAATTGGCAAAAAATGAAAAATACTTATAATGCACCAATTAATTTTCAGCAACAATAATTATCTTAAAGACTATATAGAATTCAAGTTACCTTACAGAAATTATAATCCAAATTTTTATGGCCAACTACTTAAAAAAAAAAATCCTCCAGCTCACATCACAGAGGTTACTTAGGCAATCAGTTAAGTGTCAAGGCTTTCAGTACAAGCTTGCCTCCAGAAATACAACTCAAAAGTTATCAAAACTGTTTGTGGTTTATTTCTATATGAAATGCACTGTCATAATCATAACACCAGGGCAAACATTTCAAAAGAGAAGAAAACAAAGGCAGAAGAGTTCCTTACAACACCATGAATCTACAAATCCAGTGATTGATAACGTGCCTGTTAGCGGGGATTACCAAATTCCCCATATACTATTTTTGGTGTAATACACTCTTCTGTTTAATGCATTCTTACTGACAGCTATCCTATTCTTTGTAACAAATTTCTTCTGACAGCTTACGTTACAAGCAGAAATAATAATTACATTGGTTTAAAACTACAGTAATAAGATCAGTGCACCATTTACTTCTAGTCACTAGTACAGTTCAATAAATATAAATATTCTAAGTACATATTTCAGAGATACTTTATTAATATTTATAAAATACAATCGCTTATCAGTGTAAGTCACATGAAACTCGGTCTGACTTGTGCAGTGTCCTCAAAGCCATGTTCATAAGATACATAATGGAGGTAAACAAATGCCTGACACATAATAGATGCAATGATCCTTTAAATAGACAAGCTTTTTATAATGTGCTTTCTTTTCATGGGTAGACTGCCATCCTACCCGAGCCATACTTATTCCAGACTCAAAGAAAATACCTAGTCTGAAAAATTACTATGAATTTATTATTGAAGAAATTACTTAATCCCTGGCTATGACTGAAGAAGTTTGGAACAAACTACAAATGAAATGCTTAGAATTCTAAGTCTTTTCATAAAGAGTCAAAGTGAAATAATTTTTTACGTTTTTCTTTACATGGCCTTGAATGTTAACACTGCTGGATGTTTTTAAAAGATCTGAGGGCACAAAATTATCAGTATAATTTTAAAAAAACTGTGTAAGAATTTTTTATATATATATATATATATATATATATATATATATATATAGTATGTCTCTATAGGCTCCAAACTGAGAGTCACATGGCACAGTACTGTTTAAAATTCTAAAAGGAAACACCATAATACATTGACAAGCAATGTACTGAGTACCTATTTTTCTTGCTATTATATCAATCTGTCCAAAGATGAGACAGGTTTGCTGTATATTAAGGCAGTTTCTTTCAAGGATGATCCCCACCCAGTCAACAATCAACTGTGGCGTCACTGACAATGAGACTTTAGAAACCAGCACTTCCAGAAAGGATCATATAGACCCAAAAAAAAAAAAAAAAGTAAAGCTATGATGATTTGGTTTCAATGGAGACAGAAATCCAGAAAAGTACTTCAGGAAGACGTTATGCAATCATGCTGGTGATACAAGACAGCAATCTGTGTCACCTACACTCCATATGGATGTTAATGATATCAAGCAAGATTTGCTGATGCCTAAGAAGATACAGTTGCAGTTATTTGTAGAAGGAGCCTGTACTGTGGTGATGAGACAAATCCTGATTTTTATAAGTTACAAAACAACCTGAAGACAAAGGCATGGCATTAACGCTAGAGATGGTACAACGTCATAATGCAAAGGAGTCCAGACTAGAAGAACGGTACAGTTGAAAAAACAATGAGTGGGAGTAAAAACAAGAGCTTGTCTTGGTCAAAGAGCATTCCAACAGAGGGTCAAACACTTACGAGTAGAAATCAAAGAAAGTGCTATTTGGACCAAAAAAGAAGCATCCAGAGAACGGAAACTATCTAAGAATCGTCAACACAGAGGCAGTAGCTGAAACTGCATCTGTGAATGACTGCCTCCTGTGTCAGGATGCAGAACAGGGAGGCTAACCAGGGAATCTCAGGAAGCCCTCAGGGGAGCTGAGACCTTCCATCATCCCTTATTCATATTCTGGAAAAAAAAAAAAAAAAAAAAAAAAAACACAAAACCACCACAACACACCAAAATCAACCACCACAGCAAAACAAAAAAGCCCCTATTTACTGTGAGGTAAGAATTCAGAATTTGCTGATTTAAAAAAAAAAATACAAAACAAAAAACCCACACAAAACAAAACAGCTCATAATTAAGATCTCTAGGTTAGTACACATACCTTTCTACAGGTTAACAAATTTACTGTGATACATCTGCATTCATAGTGATGCAAAATAATATTTGTTCTGTGGCTAATTACCAAGGTATAGTAATCACAGCAGTTACAGAATTTAAAAATTAACATCAAATACTTGGAAAGAAGTTCCTCTGACTTAGTACCTTAGCCAATTATTATTATCAGCTTGCTGAGACAAGTGAAAACATTACATAATACCATATTTTAATCTCAAAGATAAAGCTTTCTGAACATACATAATTATCAGCATACCTTGAAATTAAAAACAATAGCAACAAAAACTGTTTGTATATGCAAAAACAGTTATATCTCAATTACCATTTTAAATAATAACAACAAAACCCCTGAAGCATTTGAAAAGTGTCTTATATTAACTTTTATTAGCACCCTGTTAAACAGAGTCTTGGCTAAAATAAGCACAGACTCAAAAGGAATAAACTGATATACTTAATAGAAAAAATTCAAGAGCCACCTAAAATAACATCGGGGACTTGTTTTATTTTCAGTATCACTTAGGTATTTACCTGAACAAGAGACACAAAAGAAATGTGCATAACTCAATTGAAATCTGAATGTAGACTTGAAATGCTGGGGTTTCAACCCCAAGCCCAAAATTAAGGTTGACATATGGGTGATTCCCACAGCCCTTCCCAAAGGGGGTGTGAGTTTACCTTTAGGCTTCCCCCCAGGGTGGGGCCGGCCTGGCAGACAGAGCCATTGGGTAAAGGAGCCCCAGGTGTCTGCGTTCAGTAACCAAAGGTCAGTTGTCCCACTGAGGGATAAAAGCTGGGACCACTTGCAGGCAGGGGCAGTGTCTGTCTGTGAGGTGGATGCCCTGTGTAGAGTTCCCTGTTGGGGAAGGACCTCCTGCCTCCCTGGGACTGGGCTCCAGTCAGGTCTGGCCTTTGTAAATGTGGGCTGTGTGGAGATTCAGTGTGTGGCTTCCTTGGTCTTATGTGTTTGGCTTGTTGACTGAGTTGTCTCCCATCCCCTCTATGGGAGACTGTATTTCACCATTTATTCCACCCATTGTTGGTCATGCAGTGTTGTTGGGGTCAGTGGGATTGATGTCAATTATGTATAACCTGATTGATTTGTTTGTACCCCCAGTGCTCACCCGTTTGTATCAAATACAATTTGGTTATTGGTTCATCTTTATGCTGGCTGTGTCCTTTATGCTAGGCCTGATAATTGGCAAAACAAGACTGTGCAACTTTAACACTCCAGACAGGGGAATAAAACACACCACTGAAAATGCAGATATAAATTCATGTTTACTTTTTACATTTTTCAGCATTCTATGTTTAATTTTTTTACTGGCATAACAAATTTAAGTCTCACTACTGAGCGTATATAATATTGTAAGCCAAAGCCCAGAAGTACACTACTGAAATTGGATGTGGAAAAATACTTTGTTAACACTTTCTGCTAAGACATGTTAAAAAGCCTACTGTAGCTTTTCACTGATGCAGGACTGAAAGGATAACCCTTGATCAAGTGTAATTTACAGAGTCAATAAAAAAGTAGATATTTTACAGCTAAAACTACCTTATAAGTAAATACCTTAGCATGATTATTTTATAATGACACATTTGAGTGTAAATATTGAATATGACAGATAATTATGTTATTACTCATACTACCCCTCAAACAACCTACCAATCTGTGCAGATTAAACTGCCTGGTTTTCCGTACCCTGTTCATCAACCTCCTGCCCATCTTTTTGTCATGCCAGACTGATAAAAACATCCTCTGTTTAATTTAAGGTTTTTTAGGCTTTCTTCAGTCATCAAAATGAATCCAACTGCACTGAAAGCTCAGGGGAAATCTCAGGCAAAAAGAGTATAGCCAGTAATTAAGAAGACTTGATGTTGATTACTGTATCTTAAGTTGTTCTAATGTTTGGATTAAACCACAGTCCATCTGCTACAGTTTTTCTTTCTTGTCTCCATTGACAAGAATGTGTTTAGCAGATCCATACTGAGAATAGGACAGATTCAGTCAACTGCTTCTTACTATAAGGCACAAACTGACACCTTTGCACATATTTGTATATTCTTCATTTACAGGAAGTTTAGAAGTAGTAACCTCTCAAGAAGCTGGACAAGGCGTATTAGTTAAAGATTGTAGAGCACCTCCTCTCCAGAATGACCCACCAGAATATGATGCTAGTCCAAGAATGAGTATTTCTGGGGGTACATGTTCAAGATTTTCTTTATGGTTTCCACTGTTCTAGGTATGTTCCTAACTCCAAAAGTACTGTCTTCCTGCTGAAGATGTCAAAAAGCTTTAGAAAGGGCTCCATTTAGAAAAAGGCAACAGATTGCAACTTTCTCACAATCATAACTGATCTTGCAGTTACATGTCAGCCAATCTTTATTTCTAAATGGAAACAGCATCTTCATCTTCAGGGTAATCTCGCCTACCTGCTCAGACAGGAGCAGGATTCAGGAAATAATATAAACAAAAAAAAAAACATACTAGGGCAAATAAAAAGTTGC